ACAGCAATGTGAATTTAAGGATTTAGGGCACAATCCTTGTGGAGAAACAAAGAGAAGGGTTGAGCAGAGTGAATCTGTGTTGCTGCCTCTTGTACTGTGTCTGTTTGCTTACAAAATTCATGCAGCGCAACAGGAGTGAAAATGCAGTGTACTCAGTGCTCTAGCTGCATGGAAAATACTCTCACAGTGATCAAGCTCTGAAAAAACATAGACTGAGAAAACCAAGTAAGCTACAATTTTGTGTTTTCACCTCTGTATTCTGTGGTTGTGTGTTTTACAAGAATATCACTGCTAAACCAAAAGGGTTGGCTGACCTTTGAGCTGCATAAAGGCACACAATTAGAGAAGTCACAGCCATCACTGAGCATAGAACATTTGCATTAGTACAAAATAACCAATTGGCCTACAAGCACATGATGATCCATGAGTGCGTTATAAATGATTTTGTTGTGCAGTGTTGGTTTTTTTCTTGCAGCATTCCAATGTTGTGTTCATTGAACTGTTTTATTTATTTCATATTTATTAAATGGAAAAGAGCTAGCTACAGTATGAGTGAAAAATCATCCGAGAACATCACCAACAGCTTAAGTGGCAATGCAAATTACCAATATACCAATATGACAAATTGTTCTATTCTTAAACGTGAAGGTGCATACGGTTAGGGTTTTAGGTTTTCCTGCTTTGAATTCTAAATTTAGAAAAAAATAATTGCAAAAAAAGCTTTAAACCTTATTTCTTGGACGAACACTATGCATTTTGACTCATTTTACTGGGCACTGAGTGCAGGCTGCCAGTAAAATGGATTGCTCTCATTATGAGTGTGTTATGAACAAGCAGCCTGTGATTGAATAGCTTTATTTCATGCTCGGCAGACTTGTAAATGAGGGGTTGTGTGTAGTGAAGAGAGGATACTGTCGTGTGTCTGTGTGTTCTGGGTGTTGGTGTGTGTGTGTAGCAAGAAGCGATGATGGGATTTCATGAATCACAGTGTGTAGGGTAATACTTTATTTCTGTGGGATATTGTATGGGTTATTGCTTCATATAAACATGACAAAACTAGGAAAGGCTGTGCGGTTGTATGTGTACTTGCGACATTGTGCCTAGTTTACTATGTTGACATTACAAGTTGTAATGATATAGTGGAGGCAACTTACTCTTCACTAGCAGCTGTTTATATTTTGCAGCTTTCCATTTTTTTATGATCTTGCGACACTTTATGTGAAATTTTTCAACCCCATCTCCAAAATCTAGTGTTGCAGCATTAAGATATGCAACTTATATGGCATCCACATCTGTTTCTACCTTAGTACAGACTTCCACATAATCCCAAAGTGCATGCATGTCCAGCTCTCTGCCAGACTTGGCCTCGTGTGGTGTTCAGAAAGGTGACGAACTACAGATTTAACAGGGCTGCAGAGGTCAGTGTTGGCTGTGTGCCAGTGGCAGTATTTTACATAAACCACCACGGTGAGGAATGTGTCTGGGCACACTTCACAGGAAACACACACGCCAACCTAGCACACACAAAGTGCAAGTAGCTTTGCTTTCGGCTTGGGTGCTGTTTTGCATACATACACACACCGAATCGCTCTTTTGAAGACAGAATGAAGTCTACGTCTTTGTTTTCAATTATTGCCATGCTCAGTCTTTTTACCATTTTCTGTGTGTGTGTGAGTGTGTTTGTCTTGGTGGGGGGCTGGGTGAGAAACGGGTGCAAGCAGGTTATAAAGAGACATCCAGCAACAGAGAGGCAGATCATAAAAACTACAAATGGATTGCAAGGGACTTACTTAGCTATTTGACCTCTCTCTCCCCTCTCGCCAGCCGTGGAAAGAGAATGAAGCCATTATTGCCACCTCAGTCCCATCTTGTCTCAGCTGGTTGTGACATTATCCGTGAGTCAGGTTGTGTCCATTCTGGCCCCATCCCCACTGTGAGCTTATGTGCTGTCATCCAGGCCTGACTGCCACTCCTGACTCCCTTAGACCGTGGATGAAATTGATGTTACAGGAGCCATTAAAACCTGTAGGAGTTATTTAGCTGTCTCTTTTTGTCTCCTCTGTCTGTATTATTATCTGTCTGCAGTTTTGTCTGTCCCCATATTCTTCTCTTCGCTGTCTTGCGTGAATCATTATCAGCCTGTGCTTCTCTGTTCCTGTCATTTCATACCACACACTTTGTCTGTGTCCCTCTCCATTTCAGTCTGCCTTTGATCCATTTATCTTTTCATCTATCTATCCATCCATTTATGTAGCTTTCTGTCAGCCCCCTCTGTCTTTACTTTGCATTCTGTCACATCTTTTTTCACATCTTCAGGTTGTAACTCATTTGGAACCTGGGAGAAGCAGTCATAGGTTTAATGATATTCAGGTTGAAAAATGTCTTTATTTACTATGTCACTCCGTGCTTGTATCAAGCTGTGAGCTGAAAAATATTCAGATTTTGAAAGCAAATACTCCTTTTTTCACTTTGAATCATCAATGACTGCTGCTTGAAATTATGGTTTTACTGTAGTTTAAAATGAATGTGAAATCATGACTTTTATTGGAGGGTGTTCGGCTTGTGTGCGTGTGTGTGTATGAGTGCATGATTCAGCACTCCGCAGTCTAGCCACGATCTAATTAGCTCATTTCCATTCGTAGTCAGTGTGATTAAATGTTTATATTGTAACTGTCAAAGCAACACAGTGTTTATGTAAAGTTCTTGGCTTTTTCCTCTACTTTATTTGTCTCCGTTTTTGACCACTAAGCTCTGTTTACCAAAACAGACCTTGAAAATATTTCTCAGATGTTTCATGTTTTTTTTTTTGGGATTGCATTTTCATCCCATTTTGTCATTTTTTTACAGACACAGCAACAAAAATACAAGTACTGTATATAACTACGTTGTGAGTTGGCAATGTGAAGTATTAAAATGTCATTTCATTTTCTTGTCGGTTACAGCATACATATGGATACATATACTGCCAATAACATCTCGCATAAAGCAGCATTCCTCGCCCAACTGGTCAAGGTAGATGACCACCCACCTAGAGCCGAAGGGTCTGTCCTAGGTTTCTGCCTGTTAAAAGGCAGTTTTTCCTTGCCCCCGTCGCCAAGTGCTTGCTCATGG